AATAGTCCAAGCCCCCCCCCCCGCGCACACCCTCCCATACCCCACGCATCTCGCATCCCCATCGGTACGTGCGCCCCGCTCGTCGCACCATGCTCGTCGCGGTGCTGCTGCTCGCCCTGCTGGGCTGCGTCGCCCGGTCCGCAAAGGTGTACCGCTACAACGCCGGCGGCCTGAGAGTAGGCGACTACGAGCCAGACCCGATCAACTTCGTCAAGGGGAAGAACCTCTTCCACCGCGGCCCCCGCATGTCTGGCCTGGGCGTCGGCACGTCGCATCGCTGGGCGGGCGACACCGGCTTCGCGTATGAGTTCCCCACGGGAGAGGGCACGTTCGACATCGACCTCGTCTTTGCAGAGATCTTCGAGCCCGCCCAGACCGTTGGGGGACGCGTCTTCAGTGTCGCTGCCGAGGGCGAGATCCTGCTCGACAACTATGACGTGTACAAGAAGGTCGGCGCAAACAAGGAGCTCAAGGAGACCCTGAGCAACATCAAGACCACTGACGGCACGCTCAGCTTGTCCTTTATTAAGGGCCCTCAGGAGAATCCTATGGTTTCCGGCATTTCTATCAGGCAGTCAAACGGCGAGGATTTCGAAATGGGCGAAGCTGTGACCGGGGAGGGCACCGATGGCAAGGCACCTGATAACATCCCCGACGGATCCGATTTCGATCACCAGGCCCACGCTGTCGCCGGTGGCCCGTACACCGAGACCGATTTCAACAACGACGGAGAGATCATTCTCAAGTTGGACGGCACTCTATCGCACTCCCATTATAACAACCCGGATACGGGCGAGAGCGGCGTCATCAAAAAATATTCATGGGCAGTGAATGGCAAAACTATCAGTGAAAAGCCCATTTTCACAGCAAAATTTCAACTAGGCGTCACCAAGCTCGTGCTCACCGTCACGGATCAAAAGGGTGACACTGCCACCGCAAACACCGAGGTCCTGGCTCTGCCGTCCAGCGTCGGCGGTGTCTACTGCTATTACTACGGCGATACCAACTCCATCGACCCTAAACTCAAGTCTAACCCCCGTCCAGAGGAGGGCCATTCGAACAATGTCATCGACTTTGACGACGACGAGTTCAAGTTTTCGAGAAAGGATGCCCCCGCAAATATCGGTGGCACAGACGAATGGGCCGCCCGCTGCTTGACCGACGTCACTGTCCTCACCACCAAGAGATATAAGCTCTCCGTCAAGTACCGCGGCGCGGGTGCCGCTATCTACGTCAAGGGCGTCCTCAAGGCCTCCGGCGGCGCTAGCGACAAGGGCCCGAAGACCATCACGGCGAACACGGTGCTTACCATCGGCGCCACCTCGGTCCAGGTCATCTACTATCAGAAGGGCTCTCCGAGTTCCCTCCAGTTTTTGATCGATGATGAGATCGCTCCGCCGAGCGCACTCGGCTTCCAGTCCTCCGACATCATCCCTACCATCTCGCGCACGAGCTCGCCCACCGCCAACCCCGACGGCAACGGCCAGCTCCAGATCTCGGGCACCGGCTTCTTCAACAACCCTACTGTCAAGATTGGGAATCATATCGCCAGTTTCTCCGTCGTGTCTGCAACCGAGATAGTCGTCAACCCCATTCCGTCTGAGGCGGAGGCTGGTTCTACCGTTGCCCCCATTACTGTCACGAACAACGCGGGTGTGTCCAACGTGATGGAGCTCACATACGAAGATAATGGTGGCAAGGGCGTCTCGTGGGATCAGACCTTCTTGAAGTCCGCTTCGGGCGACAGGCTGAGTGTCAAGCAGATCACTTCTATAGCCATTGGCCCCGATTCCAAGTACTATCTGGGTTCCATACAGGGTTTCGTCACCAATCTCGACGTCGATAAAGATCTCAAGGTTACGTCGCAGTGCGTTGGGGACAAGCTTGGGGACAGTAGAGCGATTCTTGGTCTTGCGTTCAACTACAAGTCCTCTGCGGTCCGCGTGTATGTTACCTCCAACACTCTGTACTGGGCTTTTGGTGGTCCTTTCAAGGGCAAGGTAGATGGATGGGCAAACGGCGCGGTCGAAACCTTTATCAGCGGTTGTGGCTGCCTGTGCTACGAAAAGAAGATTGTTACGGGTCTTCCAGTGTCAAACCACGATCATGGGGTGAACGGACTTGTCTTTTTGCCTAATGGCGATCTGTTGATCAACGTGGGCGGTGCGACAAATGCCGGAGTCAACACTCCTGGTAACAAGCTCGGCGGCTGGCCGGAGAGCCCGCTATCGGCGGCCGTGGTCATCGCCAAGCTGTCCAAGGGTAGTTCCTTCAATGGAAACATCAAGTATGAGCAGTACACCGACCCGGAGACAACCAAGCAGACCGCTGGTGACGTGTCGGTGTATGCGCCAGGCCTCCGAAATCCGTTTGGGATTACGCTGTTGACGAACGGGGAGGTTTGGGCCACGGACAATGGGGGTAACTTTGACTTTGGAGAAGTGAGCAAGGATTGTACGACAGACATTCCATTCAGCGAGAAAATGTATGATGAAATCAACAAGATCATTCCCGGGCTGTACTACGGGCACCCCAACCGAAACCGGGGGGGAAGCCAATGTGTGTTCCAGGGGGGCTCAGGAAAGGCAGCCACGCTGGTTACAAGTGCGACCACGGGTATCGCGGAGTATACCTCCAACGTGTTTGGGAAGGACCTGAAGGGGGAACTGATTCTGAGCAAATACCCGGCCTCCGGGTCTGGGCAGGTGTGGCGTATGAAGGCGGCAGACCAAGCTGAGGAAATTGCGATGGCCGACTACTCTGGTTTGTCTGTAGTTGTGGGAAAACACGGGGAACTGATCATGCCGCGCGTACAGCAAGGTTTCGTAGCCGTGTTGAAACCGAAGTATTCCGTGCCATCGGAACCGATGGTGATTGCTGTATCTCCGAGACGGGGACTGGGCGGGTCGAAGGTGTTTGTCTCGGGAGAAAACTTTGCAGAAGGAATGTCTGTGAGCTTTGGCGGGAAGGCGGGGACAGACATTGACGTAGTGAATTCCAACGGGCTTTACGTGAAGGTACCTAGTGGGTCTGGTAATGTTGTAGTGCAGGTGACAGTTGGTGGGGCGACGTCGGCCAATCCGGAGGGATATGACTTTATTTACGCTTAGGTTTGGGAGAGTAGACGGAGAGTGCGATGTAACTTTTTTTTCACGGGAGAGGCAGGCGGAGAGGGCTGTTCGAAGGTTTATAGCGAGGTGCTGTGTTCCGCTGCACCTTGAAGGTAGGCTTGCCCTCGGGTGGGAATGCCACCGGGGCACATTTAGATGACATACACATATTAAAGAAACAAAATATGAAAACCCCACTTTTTGCGCGACTTGGTGTCTGCAACTACTGTACAGTAGTGTACGGTATATACGAGACCGACAAGGGGATTACCCAAGGGTAGAAGCAAAGATAACACAATCTATAGCACACTCTATAGCACACTCTATAGCACACCCTATAACACCTTATAATACATACAGTGCGAGCCGACTCAGCCTGGACCCTCGGCCACACGCTCCGACCTCTTTGACCCTTCGCGAGGGCGCAGTTGCACTGTCTGTCCCGCGATCTCGAGATGCCAAAAAAAGGAAACCGCGCGTCCCAAGGATTGGCTGAGACAAACAGCCTTACC